CAGACATTTCTATCCTGACTGACCATTTTTCTTCTACATATAAAGTGGCTTTCTGAGGATAGGTTTTCATATGGGCGTGCATATGTACACGTGCACCATTAAAGGGGGAAATGAGTACCCAGGTAACTTAAGCGTTAAATAAATATACTACTTTGACTACCTCCTTCCAAATCATTTATGCAAATGTGATATCTCCAGAGGTGAAAGATATCCTTAGATGTTAATCCAGGAGTTTATATAGGAAAACTACCTCCTACCAACTTGTAAATTTTTAGTACAATAAGGCATAGTTATGAATATAAAGATAGTCATCTTAAAAATCTATGCTCTTAGTAAGGGCATGGACTAGTTAAGTTCAGTTCTCCAGTTTACCCCAGCTCTCGGAATAACCAAAAACCATTTGTCTCACTGACAGATGGAACAGTAGCACCTTCACACAGGAGGACAGCAACAGATCATACTTGCCTCCTATTTTCATTGCCTTCCAAGATCCACAAAACAATGAACTGGAACCAATTACTGCACTATATTAAATATATAGGAAATGTTTGCCTAACAGAATTCCTTTGCTTGTTGGGGGTTTATTATTCATGCTCCTTTGACCTACTTGTGAACAATATAAAATAAAATGAAAGAGTAAGCTAGACTCAAATAAAGAGAAAAAGAGATGGAGAGAGAGACAGAGATAGATGGATAGAGAGAGGGTCTGGCTAGAGATTGCAGAAGCAATAACCCTGCCAAGGAAGAGGAGTTTTAGTGAAAAGTATAAATCTGTCAAGTTCCTTAAGAACCAGAAGGGCTAGCTGAGCATATACTTTTTATTTTATCTTTAAAAATAGGCCTGTTGAAATAATTTACATACCATAAGATTCACCCATTTAAGTGCACAATTCAATGATTTTTAGTATGTTTATGGAGTTGTGCTACCATCACCATAATCTAATTTTTATCACCCCCAAAAAAACTCCATATCCATTAGCAGTCACACCTCATCCCATCCCGCTTCCCTTATCCTCTTCGCCTCACAGTCCCAGGTAACCATTGATCTACTTTCTTTATCTATAGATTTATCTCTTCTAGACAATTAGTATAAATGGAACCATACATTATATGGTCTTTTGTGACAGACTTCTTTTACTTAGCATAGTGTTTTCAAGGTCCATGCATGTTGTAACATATATAACATGTATCACTACTTCCTTTTTATCGTTGAATAGCATTGCATTGTATGGATATACCACATTTTGTTTATCCATATATCAGTTGGTAGACATTTGCACCCTTTCCACTCATGGGCTATTAAAAATATTGCTACTATGAACATTTTCACGCATCTTCATATGTGGGTATGTGTTTTCTTTTCTCTTGGATAGTACTGCTGAGACTGTTTTTCAAGGTGGCTGCACCATTTCAAATTGCCATCAGTAATATATGAGAGCTCCATCCTCTCTGTATCCTTGTGAACACTTGTAGATGTCTGTCTTTTGATTCTAGCCATCCTAGTGGGTGTAAAGTGGGATCTCATTGTATTTTTAATTTTCATTTTACTGATGATTAATGTTGTTCATGTGTTTACTGGCCATTTGTATATTGTCCTTGAAGAACTGTCTATTTAAGCCCTTTTCCTATTTTTTAATTGGTTTGTTTATCCTTTTGCTGTTGAGTTGTAAGCATCCTTTAAATATTTTGTATACTAGACCATTATCAGAATATGATTTGCAAATATTTCCTCCCATTCTGTAGGTTGCATTTTTACTTTCTTGATGGTTTCCTTTGATGCACAAAAGTTTTTAATTTTGATGAAGCCTGATTTATCTTTTTTTCCTTTTGTTGCTTATACTTTTGGTGTCAAATATAAGAATCCACTGCCATATTCAAGGTCATTAAGATTTATCCCTATATTTACTTCCAAGAGTTTTATTGTTTTAGCTCTCATATTTAGGTCTTTAATCCATTTTGAATTCATTTTGTATGTGGTGTGAGGCTTGGGGTACAACTTCATTATTTTGCATGTGGATATCCAGTTGTCACAGCACCATTTGTTGAAAAGGCTATTCTTTCCCTATTGAATGGTATGTCACCTCCATTGGCCATGGATGTATGGGTTTATCTGTCAACTCCCAATTCTATTCCATTGATCTCTATGCCTATCCTTATGTCAGTATCATATTGTTTTGATTACTGTTGCTTTTGTAGTAAGTTTTGAAATTGGGAAGTGTGAGTCCTGCAACTTTGATTTTCTTTATCAAGATTGTTTTGACTATTCAGAGCCTCTTGCAATTCCATGTGAAATCAAAGATCAACTTTTCTAGTTCTACAATAAAAGGCTATTGGGATTTTAATAGAGATTGCATTGAATCAATAGAGATTTCTTTGGATAGTATTACTATCTTAACAATGTTAAATCTACACAGCATCTATGAACGTGGAAATTTTTTCCATTTATTTAGGTCTTTTCTAATATCTTCCATCAATGTTCTGTAGTTTTCAGTGTAAAATTTAGAGCGCTCTTGAAGGCTAATGCATACACTCCATAAAACTGTTTAGTAATATTGCCACCTTTTGGGGGGCATCAGATTGTAACCGAGTAGCTTTTCTAAAAATATGCTGTCTGTGCTCTTACATTGTGGTTATAATATTTTTGATGACAAATACAAATATTTGAGTGTTCTTGTTAACTCCATGGCATTGTTACATCTTTGTGTTTTATCATTGTAGTCCAACATGAAGAAACAACATATATTGCAATTGCTTTGAAATCATCAATTCACCTTTATGCGTGGGCACCAAAGTCCTTTGATGAAAGCACTGCTATTAAAGTGAGTAATCTCCTTTTCCTTTGGACAATACAGTTTTTCTTTTAAGAAGAAATTGTAAACAGAACAGTATTTTGAAATACAGATACAGAGGTTTATACCATTCTTCTATAAGTAATGTAATTTGAATATACCATGTCAATAATTATCGTTTAACCCTTTTCTAGACAATTCACAGGCACCACAAAAAGGGAGAATGTGAGGGAAATCCCTGACCCCTCCCCTTACAGGACCTCCCCACCAGCTCCTCACTTCCAATTCCTGTAGTCAACATGAAGACCTTCTCTTCTAGAGCCCAAGCCCAGGCTTTGGGTTTCACCCACAATGCCCTGAAACTCAGAAAGTCCTTGTTCTCTCTTAGTGGGGGGTGGAGAGCAGAGGGAAGGTAAGGAAAGGTGTGGCAAAGGTAGAAGAGGTAACCCCATTGGAAGAAGAAGGAGGGAAGAAAAAGCCTCTGCTCCAGTTACCACGGCTACAATAGGTGAGGGTGGGAAGGAACTGGGTGGGTCTATATTCCTTCCAAGCTGGAACTCTAAACACATTTCTTTCTAGAGCTATTGTAAGGCATGGTGGTTAGGCTCACAAAGTACTATTTCCACCTTTATTATGGTTTAACTGAACTTCTATAGATCAGCTACTGAAGGTAACCATTTAGTGTCCAAAACAATTAAGCTGCTGATGATTTTTTTATCACGTCTCGTAAAGTGGGGGCTATTTTTTTATCTAGAGTAACTTATTTATAATACTTCAGAATTCTACTTAAATTGGATTATTTTGTATTTACTCCATAGTAATGAGGGCTGATTAACAAACTGGCAGCACTCTCTCAAGACCAGTAGCTCCTAATCTGGGACATACATCAGAATCAGCTGGAGCATTTGTTAACAGTTTAGATCTTAGACCCAACCCCAGGCTGAATGAGTAGGTCTGGAGTGGGGCCTGGGAATCTATACTTTTAGCAAATGTTTCAGGTGATATTGAATGGGTTGGTCCATGGATAGGTTTTTACAAAGCACCGACAGGGACACATCCTAATGGAAGCCAGCAAGGTATTCATGAAATGCTTTTGTATCTTGGGTCAGGATCTGTTTCCATGGTATATTTTGTAGGCCAAAACATCACATGTATGCAGTAAAGGTGGGCTAATTCTTACAACTGCCTCTCCATGTCTATTTGCAAAATAACTATATTCTTTTATAAATAGCACAGACTACTATATATGCAGTCTGGGTCTTCCCTGACACAAATTACATCCCGTATCTGATCTCCCTAAATTGGGTCCTGGGTCAGCTGTCAGTATTTGGATATGGGTTTATTCTTGGGTGTCTGCTGATTGGTCAGAGCTGCCTGGTATGGAGCTGGAAAGCAAAGAGATAAATACCAACACTCTGTCTAGCCTGATACACAGTTCATGGTCCAAGTCCTCACTCCAGTTCTTGAATCCCACTTCATGACTGCAGTATGATGAATCCTGTGATGCTCAGTCCTCTGTGATGCTCAGTCCTCTACTGTGACCGGATCTTGGCAATGAATCCTGTTTGGCCCTTTGTTTCCTTGGACTAGAAACCATAGGAGCCTAGAGTACACCTAGTCTATGGTAGGTTAACATGTCTGGCCCTTTTCATTCCCTACCAAGTATGCATTGATCAGTCAGCAGACTCCGAAGGAGACTACATGTCCTATGAAGCCTATGTACGAATACTGGCAAAAATACAGGCAGCTGATCCAGCGAACCGGTTTAAGAGACCAGATGAGCTCCTTCATTTGCTGAAGCTCAAGGCAAGGAACTTAAAGACAGCAGAGTGCAGGGCTCTTATGATCATAGCCAATTTGACCTTTGAAGGGAAACTCAATATTTAGAACCTGAATATAATTATTTCTTTGTTGTAGTAACAGACCTAAGAAAAGTTGTAATACATAGGTCTCTAAATACAATGTGCCATTTAAAAAAAATCCACCTGGGTTTTGTAAACCTGTAAACCTGGCAAAAGAATGGGGAAATTTTGCCTTAGTTAGCATGTCATTTTTGGCCTTTTGGCCATATTTGGTTTTATATTCACAGGTATTTCCAACACTTGGTCATAAGCCAGTGACAGTTGACCTTTCTATTGGTTCTGAAAAAAGACTGAAGGTTTTCTTCAGCTCAGCAGATGGATATCACATCATCGATGCAGAATCTGAGGTTATATCTGATGTGACTCTGCCGAATAACGTAAGATAATACCTTCAGATCCCTAGAAATGACTGTATGCCACTATCTGAATTTTTCCAGCTGTTGAAACTGAAAGGTTTAGAAATATGATTAGCAATATATATACTGGAACCGAGACCGAAAAGGTAAGTATAGAGTGCCAGAAAGTGATCTTGCGTAAACAAATATCGCTGATGATTTCTTAGTCCAGACAGTTGAATCTATTTGGCATATAGATTTTGTCTGGCACAGTGTTTTTGTTTGTTTGTTTTTTCTTTCTTTCTTTCTTATTCAGGATATTATGGGGGTACAAACATTTTGGTTACATGTAATACTGTTTGCCCTGCCCAAGCCAGGACTACAATCGTGTCCCTCCCCCATACAGTGCATTCCGCTTCCATTAGTTGTGAATTTACCCCCCACACCCACCCCACCCCTACTGGCACCCAGTGAGTATTACTACCATATGAACAACTTAGTGTTGGTCAGTTAGTACCAATTTGCTGGTAAGTACATGTGGTGCATGTTTTTCCATTCTTGTAATACCTCACTTCACAGGATGGGCTCAATCTCTATCCAGGATAATATAAGAGGTGCTAGTTCACCATTGTTTTTTGTAGTTGAGTAGTGTTCCATGGTATACATATACCACATTTTATGAATCCACTTATGTATTGATGGGCATTTGGGTTGTTTCCACATCTTTGCAATTGTGAATTGTGCTGCTATAA